TTCGTGCCAACTGCCTTTAAGTGGAGATGGGCTCGGTCGTACCTACATCACTACTCCACACATCACGATGCTGTACCTGCTTCCAAAACTGCGCTAGTGGCGCAATCGCTTCATGAAGTGAGTAAACGGTCACCTATTACTGAGAAATTCAAACGTCAAATTTCATTGGAAAGTACTATAAACGCTATTACCAGCGCATGTGATTTGACTACTCACTTGCCTCAAGGAAAACAAACGCGAGTAACAATGCGTCGGACACTTTTTATTCCATCCTGTATAGTCCATGACATCATAATTGTCACGACTGCAGTCAATTTTTACTCAAAAATATGATTCATTCTGTGGCTCTTAAATAGTATTACACACCTTTGCCCGTTTCCAATCTACATTCACCATTTCTAAACATCTTTGAACATTTGTCCATGCACTATGATGGCCAGTTTCAAAAAGATAGAGACGTTGCACACCCATCTTGTTGCTGCCTACGTGCAGAAATGTAGGGTAACCAAGTAGTACATCACAAATGCCAAAAACAACGGTAATAGTTTCTTTGAACTTACACAATAACACCTTCAAGGGGCCTTCTTTCACGCTTTTCTGTATGTCATGTTCCTTTTTGTGAAGGCATAAGGCACGATTAATCCGGTACTCGGTCTAAAATGGTAGCAGAGGTGTTATATAGTGGGAAGAAGGCGAAAACACGAAGTGAAAATGTGTCAAAAAACTGCAAAGAAAAGATTTGTTGTATACGACTGAGAAAACATTTCGGACGAGTTTTCCCGCCAGCGTCGTGCCAACAATCGCTACGGTAGATAGTGCTGCATGTATGTACACATATATCCATGAAGTACTACATGCGCTTTACATACTGCTTCATATTGTACCCTGTGTCCCATAAAATAGTTCCACCCATAAATCTCACAATATCCCGCTCTACACGACGTTTTCAAAAGAGCCTCTAGATAGAAAATGGGTAATTACCAGTGGCAATTAGCATGCCATGCATGCCAACACCGAGAACTAACTTTCCAGAGCAACTTTTTCTTTATTTTTTGAAAATTTCTCACTTTAACAATGTCCCAAAAGTATAGTTCCACTGAACAAATCAATTCATAAAACAACAAGTGTGCAACAAAATTAATGAATTGCTAACTAAATGATCTATTGCAACCTCATATCTTTGAATAAGTTAAAAATGAGGTCACTATGCTCGAATAGAGGTTTTAAATCAGTTTTTGGTCGACATGCTGCCATGCATCAATTATTGAGTTCTTGAGCTCACGGACATTGTGGAATCGTGATTGTTCGCATAGATCTTGTACCATGAAGCCCCACACATTCTCGATTGGGCTTAAGTCAGGGCTATCAGCCGGTCAGGGCAAAAGAGCGATTTGATGACGACTGAACCACGCTCGAGTGCTTCGACTGACATGAACTGGTGCATCGTCTTGCACGAAAACAGGACTTTCATGCCGAAGCCTTCGTCAGAAAGGAAGCAGGTCTCGTCGCATGACGTTTACATAGTGACACCACCCCCTCTGATGTTCCGCCTGTAAAAATCGAGCTTCTGTTCTAACATTGTGCCAGTAGGATCGATTTTCGTCTGGACCATCGCAGTTGAATTTTTTCTCATCAGAAAACACGATCTGGGGGGGGGAAGCTGAAAAGACAAGAAGACAAGCAGTAGAGCCCCACTGCCATAAGCTGACCGTACTCCATTCGGTTCAGCAGCATCTTCTAGCAAAGGCAATTCGCTTTTCGCGATGGTGCTCTGTGCGATGCGCCTTCCTCATTTTCCTGCTGAGAGTGAACTCGGACTTTTTTAGGACACGCCGAACAGTCTCCTTCGAGACGTTGAGCCTCAAAGTTGACCTTATTTTTGGGCGCGACGTTGTGGAATTTGATGCTTCTCTCAAAGTACGGCGCTTTTTCCGATCAGAGAGTGTAGCAGGACGCCCAGAGCTCTTCTTGATTCCATATCCTGCTGGTTCCCTGACAAAATTATTGATAACATGATGACTGCTGCCCAACTCCCTTGCGATTCGACAGTCCTTGAGCCTTCTTTGCGATAACCTGCTCTTTTTCGAAATCCAAAATGAAGGTCCTCTTGCCATACCTGGAAAAGGTGAAAGGTAATAATGATGAGACAGTTTTACCCGAAAAAAAATGAGACGCAGAGGGGAAATATGCGGTGGAACTATACTTTTGGGACATGTCATAGTGAGAAACTTTCAAAAAATAAAGAAAATCGAAGTTGCTTCGCAAAGTTAGTTCTCGGTGTTGGCATGCAAATTTTCACTGGTATTTACCACATTTTCTACGTAGAGGCTTTTTTGAAAGCGTCGTGTAGGGCGGGATATTGTGAGATTTGTGGTATGGGTGGAACTATACTTATGGGACTGTACTATGCAGTTTACGCGACATAAGCATCAGCATTGGTCGGACATTTGTTGACGGGCGGACGCGGTGGAAGTCCGGGTCGGTATGATGCAGCTTCCCAGGGCGCTATAAGGGTACCATATTCAGAGAAGGCGCCGCACGGCTCTTGCTGAGGGGCACCAAGATCTACCCTGCTGGAGCACCAATCCTACACTCCTTGGTATTACTGTCCATTTACCTTCGAGAAGCCAAGAGCATGCTAATAACAAGTAAGACAACTGTGCGAAACTGTCACAAATTCACCTCTTTTCTTCCGCAAGTTAAGCTTCACCGAACGAAGCAGCTGGTAATCAGAAGGTCCAAGGCTTAGGAAACATGAAGGTTGTGCGGACTGAACCCCATTATTTTTTGTTAATTGCCCGAAGGACGACATTTGAACTCTCTTTGGAGTGACGGTTCACTTGCGCTCATACTGACCGTTTTTCTCCAATTTCGCTGAACGTTTGTTTCAAACAGAGTTACGATTGATGAGGATCCGACCGGAGGGTTGTGGCTCTGTAGTGTGGAAGAGACGAGTAGCACCTGTTTCACTTGTACAACAGCCAAACTGTAGCTAGACATCTTAGGAACGGGGCGGCAAATAGTGAACAGCACTCGTTCTCAGAGAAAATAAGTTCTTGAAAACGACATGAAAAACGAAATTTTCGCACTGAATTCATCTAATCTGTGAAGACTGGTTTCCTATCGTGATTAGTGCACCATAGGCCGTAGCCCTGATCACCAGTGTTGACCGAATTCGTTGCAGGTTTTCCGCTATCGTGATGTCATCACTTCGACTTGAACAAGTCTCGCCTTTAGCGAATCATACATGTGAAAATCATCAGCGTGCCTGCAAAACTGAACAATCGGCAATGAGTGGAATGACCGGTTGCGTCACCGAGGTTACTGCTTACTTTCAGAAGATATGTGGGCTCACGAAATTGACAAAAAACTATATTTATGGAGATGCCAACTGTTTTCGCAGACGCTACACGCAACCACAAAACAAAGCGAGACGCAATCACCACCCAGTAAACTTGTAACTTTGAACACGTTTGAAACCCTTGGAAGATTTGAGCAAGACTTTTTGTAAGGGGTCGTATTTTTCAGGAGTTTATCGCAACGCGTTGGCGTGCCCTGTTTGTAGGATAGAGGGGGTATGTGACAAGATAGTGCTAATATGTCGCGCTTAAGGGCCTTGCAAGCGACGCCGCGCTCAACGGAGGAGTTTTCGTGCGGGTGCTTGAGTTTGAGTGTCAAAGGAAAGGAAAAGTTTGATATAGCCCGTCACAGAATCTTGTCTCCGCGTGGATCCATGCAAGTTTTGCTGCTACGATTGACAAAGAATGCAGATCGAGATTTATTAGTGCATCTCTGCATGATACGCCGTGCGCGACGACGCGGCAAATTACGATTGTCTTGTCTGTCTCCCCGTCTGAGGTCTGACACGGATTTTAGGTTGTTTCGCTACACCTTTACCCTGCTGTTTGGCTGACGGTCTGAGGCTATACCGTTTTTCAGCTGGCAAAATCACAAGATTTCCAAGGAACAACTCTCTCGGAGTTCAGAGAATGAGATAAATCCCCGTTTTTCATAGATCGCTAGCGGCTTCGGGCACCCCACTAGCGTGGGAAAGGGGCTGGCGCAAAAGGACCCCCTTGCAGCTGACACGCCCCGAAAGACTTCAGCGACAACAGCAGTAGAAATATCGGACGAAGAGGTCTACCTTCCACTACAAGTTGGATTGAATGATGCGAAGAGATCGTTTGCTGCGGGTACATACAGAGGGTACGGAAAACTCGTACGGGAACCTTTCGTGTAGGCTTTACATTCAGAGCGTTTGCAATGGTTTTTCCCTGATTTCTTCTGTACAGGGACTAACTTAGCGCCTTTATTTTATTTTCACAGCACCTCTGCCTACAGTATGCAATATGTCTTAGCTACCTTGGCTACTCATCCAACTCATCCGCTTTGGTTCTTCTTGTTCAGGGATAAGCGGACGTGGCATAAAAAAAGTTCCGAAAATTGGAAGGCGGGGACAGAATCTGGTTGTCTTTGAGAACTTGCGCAAACTGGAAAAACTTTACGTAACACGGAACAAAAGCACCAGAACATGGGAATTCGCCTTAGAAAGCAAAAGACAAAACCAAACTAGGGATTCAGACAATGTGAGTTCTCGGACGTCTGAGCCCTGTCGTTCCCTATAGTACTGCAAGGTTACTTTCTCTGACTGGGTCAAAAAATCAAGTTCCTGAAGGAAACCAAGCCCATTTTTCGAGAAATTCGGTCGTAAGGGATAAATAGTGTCGAGCAGTTTCGCAGTATTTTAATAGTAACATATCAAAACAGCAACCAAGAGGCCTCGAATTGGCACGTTTATTTATTTACCATTTACCATTTACAACTCTGGTTACCAAAGGAATTGCTGCTGAATAACTTTGGAGTTTTTAAAGGCCTTAAAGGGGTTGGAATAATCAGGTGTTCTTTAGAGACTACTGCAGTTTTTTCCTAGGGATCTTGAATAAAATATAAATTCACTGAAACTTAAGGCCATAAGAGATAAGAAATCGTCGCGTGCCCTGATGCTGATACTAACGACTTTCACCTACCTATTACTGGGTGCGGCTGTCTTCGATCTATTGGAAAGCGAAACGGAAAGCTATGTACGGGAAGAAATTGCATTTATTCGAGAAAAACTTCAAAGGAAATACAATTTTACCCAGCGGTCAGTCTCGTTTACTGCTCCTTGAACAAACTCACTACGAGTGATTGGTTGAGTTGATAATTTTTATAAAATTATTGAGACCAATTTCTTTTCCAGGGATTTCAAACTTTTTGAGTCGGTCGCTATCAAGAGCATTCCGCACAAAGCCGGTTTTCAATGGCAGTTTTCTGGAGCGTTCTATTTCGCGACAGTTGTCATCACCACTGTGGGTATGTGGCCAAATAAAATAGGGCCCAAAGATTTGGGTTGCAAGAAATCTTCAAATGGTCCTGGCCTGAACTGTCTTTTCTTCTTGTTAAATCCTTTGTTAACAATGAGCCACGCTATAAAGTTTCGAACCAAACGAATTCCATGCAGCGTTCCTGTAGAGACACATCCATGATAACCGGAGGGGTGAAGGGAGAGCAGGGACTCCCATCCTTCGGATTCGTTTTCTTATTGGTGCACCTCCTTCGAAACGGTGAAGGGGATGATGAGGAAAGGACAATTGTTAGAAGTCTCCGCCCGCCCATCTGTTGCGGATTGTCTCCTAAAGGGCACCGAGTACGTGGAGATAGGAGGTGAGCTGGCTAATGGTGTCCGTTTTAGGGCACTTCTTCCACTGGGAAAATTTTCACAATATACTCCCTCCACTCAGGCATCCAAAAGGTTCTCCTTCTGGAACGACCCCCCACCCGCTCCCCTACTTACTATTCCTCCTACCATATATCCAAATCTTCCCGGCAATTCTACTGTTTTTCCCGGAATGTACCGTGGAGCGAGGATGTGATACAGCACATAAAACAGGGAACCCGGGGAAAATCAGAAACCGAGTACATTCTCCCCAGAGACAAACACCACCCCCTCCCAGCGCTGTTTGCCACGGGGGCATTTTGTATTATCATTGCTTCCCTAGTTCCGGCTTACAAATCTCACTCTGGTAAAACTTGTGCGCTCTCGTTAAGCTGAAGTAAGATCGTCTAGCCACTATCCTAAAACGTGTCAACTCGAGAAACGGCTGCCTAGATGGATCGACACATCTATGGAAAGTAAAATGCCCCCCGTCGACAAACTGCCCCCCCCCCCTTCCCGTTGAAGATCAACGCACGACGTTCCTCAGTCCGTGACTGGACAAGATATGTATTTGAACACAAGCTCCAGGACCCTTTCACCAACAAGCAGCCTCCACCCCGTTTCATTTCGTAGCCCAGTGAACCTCTCTAAAATTCCTCGAAAAGGCTCTTCTGCGATCCAGAGGTTATAGAAAGTTACATATTTCAGTTAAAGCTGATATAGCATATAGCATACATATATAGCATAAAGCTGATATGAGTGTGTCAGTGGTAGAGCAGGATTGTCTGGACTCATCTTCTCACCCCTTGGGCTTCTCATCCCTTTTTCCTGAGCCACATAGCCTTCGAAGTATCTACAAATAAACCACAGAAATGAATTCAAGAGCGTGTCAGATCTCTCTGAATTCCCTCTACTTTTCTAACTTTTCTAACTGTATTATGACCGTCGATCAATTTCTGTTTTAAGGTTACGGCCATTCTGCTCCAGAGACTATGGCAGGTCGATTCTTTTGTATGATCTTCGCTCTCGCAGGGATACCACTTGGATTGATCATGTTTCAGTCTATAGGCGAACGTGTAAACACATTCATCGCCTATTGTTTACATAAGGTTACCATATGAAGTTATTGTATTTTTTGTAAACCAGTAGAACTCATATCGGCGACTACAGTCTATATCTTTACGCTGAAGTGGGAGTATCCACGGATTCAGCGGGAAGAGTCGTGACGATGTACAGGTGCCAGTTCAGGTGAAGCAGTATAGCCGTTTTAATTGCTCTGGCCAGGGCGGGTCAGAGTTTGGGTTCGGCGCGTTGCCAGCCCGTTTCCCATCAATTGTTGTCAAATACTTCATTAATGGTGGCGAACGGGCCGCACTGCGATTAGCACACCTTCCCTCCCTCTGACTCGCCGCTGTATGCAGTGAATACAATTCTAGATAGTCTGCAGGAGAACGAGGCAGCATAAGATAGCTTTCAACTTTTCCTCTGCATAGATCGGTAGATTTTCACAGATGAAACTACCACCAAGTTCAGAATTATTTCCGTCACTGCCCCTCCCCTTAACTTCAAGGTATGGTTTATACTTTATCGTAGTATGTGACTTCAGATGCGAAATTACCTGCAATCGCGCGGAGTTAACTGCCTTCGTGAGGTTACACCGACACATCTTCTTGTTGTCTCGCTATCAATCGGAGGAAGTATTATGATTATAGGTTAGCTAATTCACAAGCGTCTCTGTTGTATCAATTAACTGAAATAACAACGTGAAAAAGGCATTTTCAGGAACGATCACATTCCATAACGAAGAGCGTTGGACTCTCTTCGATGCTTACTATTACTGCTTCATCACATGTAGGTTCTGCAACTGGGATGTAAACAAGGAAAGCACATCGTGTTCGATACAAAACGGACTCAAAATTTCATTCTGCGACAAAAAGTCGCTGGTAATTGAGTTCAGACTGGAACTCGTTTGTGGTAGGCGAATGTGAAGGGCTGAAGGTGCCTCACGGGTAGCGCAAACAATAAAGGCGCCAAAGCTATTAGGAAAACTCTTCCAAGCGACTGTAAATTCGTACGAAGTGAGAGGTGCAGTAGGGTGTTAAATGGGACGTTCTGGATGGTTTCTCCTGCTATTTCCTTCACAACCGTGCAACAACCCCCTTATTGTATGTACATATTCGGAAACCGTAACCGTCAATTCTCATCGTATATATTGTATATAAGGGACGATTCCATGATTATTATAGCGTGTAAATATATCATTGTTCCAGTGTCAACAATCGGATTTGGCGACCTAGTGCCTCTTCAGCAGGGATCAGCCCTTCAACGACAACCCATCTACGTAATTTTCACCTTGCTCTTCGTTCTTCTAGGATTGGCAGTCTTTTCGGCTTGTGTGAATCTTCTGGTCTTAGGGTGAATCAGTATTATCTTTTCGCCACATCTTCTTACCATCTTATTCTTCAGCAGTAAAATAATGGTTTTAACAAGTAAATGAATATTTGATTCAAGATTTATGGCTCCAAACGCTGATGTGGTAACGGCAGCGATTAGGGAGCCGCAAAGCACCATTATATTTGAAAGATTCGCAAGGTTAGGAAACTTTCCTCTTCCTGATGTTTCTTTGCTAGAATTTCCACAAATACAAAACCGGTTCTCTGCATGAAAACAAAGTGAGCACAAGAGGGCTGCATATGTGTGATTGCACCGAGCCATAGTGCACAGTGATAGTATGGGCGGAGTCAGACCTATATACCGGTGCGCTTCCTCATTGAAGTCCTTCTCTTCTTTCATCCTCCTTCATGTTGTTAGAGAGAAGGAGACCAGCAATGATTAGTGGGCACAGAGGTCTGATTCCGCCCACTCGACCAGTGAGAAAGAATCTCTTCAGGCAAGAAATTAAAGAGTTGGTGGAATATGATGTGAACCAATAACTTCATTTTCTGGTCAAGTAAATGAAGACGTTCGTTAGATCTGGATCGCTGGTCGACTCGCAACTGTTCGGTATGCGACGACTAAGCCGTGGTGAACCACTGACGCTTCTTGGTCTTCCACGATCCACAAGAGCGGTTTGTTAACAACTTCATGTCCATGTTCTGATTTTTGTTTTTGAGGAGATTTTTTATACGGAATTTTTTCAGTCATCCCATGTCGAAAATGATACGGCACTGAAAAAAGAAGCCAGGTAAGGGGATTAATTGGATTCGATTGTCTGGCCCACCTCGACGGCGGAGACGCTTAGTATTCCTAGGAAAAAGTAGTATCGATGGCTTAATGATAGGGAGATCACAGCTCTTTCCCAGGTAGATGTCCAGAACATAGCAAACGTGACATTACGCGCACTCCTGCAGAGTTTTCAGAATGAACGTACTACGTGCTCACCACGGGGCTGAGGTGATGTAGAGGCAAATGGACTGCCTACCGCGCGCGCGGTTGGGGGGGGGTAGAAAAATTGTCCGGGCCTCTTGGTCCGAGAGTCTCAGATCATCTTCCGCTCATTCAAGCCACCTAGTCTTTTTTTTAGAGAAGACATGCTTTCTACAGTAATCTCAAAATCAAAATGTTACATCGAAAACACGGTCGCCTCCACGTTCATACGAAGCGGAGCCAGCCCAGCGCGTAGGGTAATTCTACCACTGCCGTGGATGCCGTGCTGCTAATATACAGCCTTGTAATTTTACTATTGCCGTGCATGCCGTGCTGGCTAAATACACCAATTGCGAATTTACTAATTGCCGTGCATGCTCCATGGCCGCCGTGAATTCTACCATTGCCCCTGCGTGCCGTGCTGCTCCATGGCGCCGATTGAATTCTACGCACTGGCCGTGGGATGCCGTGCTGCTAAGATACCAGCCTTGAATTTTACATTGGCCGGTGGCATGCCGTGGCTGCTACAATGCCGCCTTGCAGATTCTACCGATTGGCCCTGCGTGCCCCGTGCTGCTCCAATGCAGCGCCTTGATTCTAAATCCATTGCTCTGCTGCCGTGCTGCTCCATGGCGCCTTGAATTCTACAACGCCGTGGATCGTTGCTGCTAAATACAGCCTTGAGATTGTTTATCATATTGCCGTGGCTGCTCCACTGCCGCCTGTGATTCTACCCACTGTCCCCCCCCCGTGGATGCCGTGCTGCTAAATACAGCCTTTGAATTTTACTATTGCCCTGCGTGCCGGTGCTGTCCATGGCGGCCTTGAATTCTACCACTGCCTGTGGATGCGGTCGCTAATACAAGCCTTGATGATTTTACGTAAATTGCCGTGGCATGCCGTGCGCTCGATTGCCGCCTGAATTCTACATTGCCCTGACGTGCCGTGCCTGCTCCATGGCAGCCCTGAATTCTAGCCACTGCGTGGATGCCGTGCTGCTAAAGACAGCCTTGAATTTTACTGATTGCCGTGCTGCTCATGCCGCCTGAATTTCTACCATTGGCCCTGCGTGCCGTGCTGCTCCATGTCCACCTTGAATTCTACCGATTGGCCCTGCGTGGCCGTGCTGCTCCATGCCGGCTTTGAATTCTACATCTGCCCTGCGTGGCCAGTGCGCTGAAATACAGGCCTTGAATTTTTGATATTGCCGTGCATTGCCGGTGGCTGGCTCCATGACCGCTTTGAAGTTCTACCATGTGCCTGGCGATGCCCGTCTGCTCCATGGCGCCTTGAATTCTAGCAACTGCGTGGACTGCCGGCTGCTGAAATACAGCCTATGAATTTTACTAATGCCGTGCTGCTCATGCCGCCCTGAAGTTTCTACATTGCCAAACTGGCGTGCGCGTGCTGCTCCATGTCACCGTTGAATTCTACCAATTGCCCTGCGCTGGCCGTGCTGCTCCATGCCGCTTTGAATTCTAACCATGGCCCTGCGTGCCGGCTGCTAAATTACAGGCCTTGAATTTTACTATTGCCCTGCGTGCCCTGCTGCTCCATGGCGCTCTTGAATTCGTACGCACTAGCCGTGGATGCCTGTGCTGCTCAATACACGCCTTGAATTTACTTATTGCCGTGCAATGCCGTGCCTGCTCCATGCCGCCTTGATTCCTACACTTGCCGTGGATGCCGTGCTGCTAAATACAGCCTTGAATTTTACTAGTTGCCTAGTGCTTGCTCCATGCCGCCCTGAATCTACATTGCCCTGCGTGCCTGTGCTGCTAAAATACAGCCTTGGAATTTACTATTGCCTTGTGGCATGCCGTGCTGCTCCATGCCAGCAGTTGATTCCTACCAATTGCCCTGCGTCCGTGCTGCTGAAATTACAAGGCCTATGAATTTAACTATTGCCCTGCGGCCGCGTGCGCTGCGCATGGGCGCCTTGAATTCTACACTGCGCCGTGGATGCGTGCTGCTAAAAATACAGCCTTGAATTTTACTATTGCCACTGCGTGCCGTGCTGCTCGCATGCCACCCTGATTCCTACCATTGCCCTGCGTGCCGTGCTGCTAAATACAGCTTGGATATACTATTGCCGTGCATGCTCGTGCCTGCTCCATGCGCAGCCCTGAATTCTATTTCATTGCCTGCGTGCCGTGCGTGCTCCAGTGCCGCTTGAATTCTACCATTGCACTGGCGTGCCGTGCTGCTAAAGTACAGCCTTGAATTCTACCGATTGCCGTGGCATGCCGTGGCTGGCTCCATGCCGCCTTGAATTCTACCATTGCCGCTGCGTGCGCGTGCTGCTAATATCAGCCTTGAATTTTACTATTCCGTGCATGCCGTGCTGCTCCCATGGTCCAGCCTTGAATTCTACCACTGGCGTGGATGCTCGTGCTGCTAAATACAGGCTCTTGAATTTTACTATTGCTGTCTGCCCATGCGCCTTGAAATTCGTACCAATGCCCTGCGTGCCGTGCTGCTAAATACAGGCCTTGAATTCTACATTGCCCTGCGTGCGCGTGCTGCTGCCATGCCGCCTTAAGAATTCTACCATTTGCCTGCGTGCCGTGCTGCTCTCATGGCGCCTTGAATTTCTACCACTGCCGTGGATGCCGTGCTGGCTATATACAGCCTTGAATTTTAGCTAATTGCCCTGGCGTGCCGGTGCTGCTCCATGCCGCCACTGAATTCTAAACATTCGCCACTGCGTGCCGTGCTTGCTAAATACAGCTTGAATTTACTAATTGCCCGGTCCATGCCGTGCTTGCTTCATCCACCGCAGTTGAATTCTATCAATTGCCTGCGTGCCCGTGCTGCTCATGCCCGCCTTGAATTCCTAACACATTACGCCCTGCGTGCCGTGCTGCTAAAATAACAGCCCTTGGAATTATAACCATGCCGTGCAGCGTGCTGCTCCATGCCGCCTTGATTATATCTCCACTGCAGTGAGCCGTGCTGCTAATAACAGCCTTGAGCTTTTACTATTTGGCCGTGCATGCGTGCTGCTCCATGCCGCCTTGAAATTCTAACCACTGCCGTGGGGATGCTCGTGCTGCTAAATATCTATCTCTGATATTTTACATATTGCCGTGCTGCTCCATGCCGCCTTGAATTCTAAACATTGGCCCTGCGTGCGCGTGGGCTGCAAATACAGCCTTGAATTCTACCATTTGCCCTGCGTGCCGTGCTGCTCCATGCCGCCTTGATATTCTGCCATTGCCCTGCGTGCCGTGAATGCTCATGCCGCCTTGAATTCTACCATTGCCCTGCGTGCCGTGCGCTAAATACAAGCTTGATTTTACTATTGCCCTGCGTGCCGTGCTGCCCAATGCGCCTTGAATATTAACAAATTGCCCCTGCGTGCCCTGTCTGCCTAAAAATACAGCTGCTTGAATTTTACTAATTGCCGTGCATGCCGTGGCTGCTCCATGCCACCTTGAATTCCTACCAATTGCCCTGCGTGCCGTGCTGCTAATAAATACAGCCTTGAATTCTACCATTTGCCCTGCGTGGCCGTGCTGCTGCCATGCCGCCTTGAATTCTTCTACCATTGCCCTGCCGTGCCGTGCTGCTAATACAGCGCTTGAATTTTACTATTGCGTGCATGCCGTGCTGCTCCAATGCCACCCTGAATTTCTACATTGCCCTGGTGCCCGCGTGGCTGCTTGCCATGCCGCCTTGAAATTCTAACGCATTGGCCGTGCGTGCCGTGCTGCTAAATACAGCCTTGAATTCTATCCATTGCCAGGCATGCCGTCTGCTCCATGCGCGCCTTGAATTCTAACCATTGCCCTGCGTGCCGTGCGCTAAATACAGCCTTGAATTTTACTAATTGGCCGTGCATGCCGTGCTGCTCCATGCCGCCTTGAATTCTTACCGACTAGCCGTGATGCCGTGCTGCTATAATACAGCCTTGAATTTACTATTGCCTGTGGCTGCTCCATGCCGCCTTGAAGTTCTAATCCAATTGCCCTGCGTGCCGTAGCTGCTCCATGCCGCCTTGAATTCTACCATTGCGACTGCGATGCCGTGCTGCTCCATGCGCCGCCTTGAATTCTAGCCATGGCCCTGCGTGCCGTGCTCTAAATACAGCGCTTGATTTTACTATGCCTGCGTGGGCCGTGCTGCTCGCATGCCGCCTTGAATTCTGACCATTGCCTGCGTGCCGTGCCTGCTAAATACAGCCTTGAAGTTTTACTATTGCCGGTGCTGCTCCCTGCCAGGCCTTGATTACTACCATTGCCCCATGCGTGCCGTGCTGCTCGCATGCCGCCTTGAATTCTACCATTGCCCTGCTGC